CACCTCTCGGCCAAGTTCTCCTTCACATCTAGCTCCCCCTTCACGTTCTCCTTCATACACACACACACACCCCCACACACACCTCTCGGCCAAGTTCTCCTTCACATCCCAGCCCCCAGTCTCTCTTCTGGGTTCTCTTCACTGCCCTCCCACAGCCTCTCTCCTGGGTCCTTTTCACACACATCCCACAGTCTCTCCCAGGGTCTCTTCATACCCCCTACAGTCTCTCTCCCGAGGTTTCCACATCCCACCCCCAACAGTGTCTCTCCCAGGGTCTCCTTCACACAGACACACACCCAGAGTCTCTCTCCCGGGTTCTCTTCACACACACCCCCAGTCTCCTGGGGTCTCTTCACACACACACCCCCAGTCTCTCTCCTGGGGTCTCTGCACAAACACCCACAGTCTCTCTCTTGGAGTCTCTTCACACAGAGACACCCCCAGTCTCTCTCCTGGGGTCTCTTCACCCACCTGCCACAGTCTCTCCTGGGTTCTCCTTCCTCCCCCAGTCTCTCTCTCGGGGTCTTTTCATATCTCGGCTCCGTCACACAGGTCTACTTATCTGTCTCCTTGTTCTGGGTACCTTCCAGAGGGGAGCCTCAGGAGGTAAGCTCTCCGCCGTGCCCCGGCCCCCTTTCCCCTCCTGCACAGCAGCCCCCTCTGTGGCGGAGGGCTGGGTGTCAGGGTGCAGGCTGAGCAGCACACACTGGGGCGTGGCGGCTGCGGCGGCAGTGCTCCTTCTGCCCCGGGACTGGAGGGGCAATGCTGGTGGCTCTACCTACCGCCAGGCAGCCGCTCCCCTCCCGCAGCTGTGACCGGAGGAGGTAGGGTTCCGAATGCCACTGTCATTCCCACCCTGCCTGCTCCATCCTCCTCTGCCACGGGCGGGAGCTCAGGGAGGCTCTCAGGCGGGCCTGGCCTTGGGAGTTCCTCTGAGGCCTCGTCACCCCTGCACCCCTTTCCCACCCGGAGCCTGAGCTCACGGTGGGCAGCGAGGCAGAGGCAGAGGTCCACCCAGCCTGCCCCAAGGCAGAGTGCAGTGAGGTCTCAGGAGATGAGTAGGGAAGGGGGAGACCACGGTGGCTTCCTGGAGGCAGTGGCAGTTGGGCAGAGCCTCAGGCTCTTGCGCACAGATGGCGGTGGGAAGGGCATTCTAGGCAGAGGGAACAGTGCAAGCTAAGGCCGGGGAAGCACAGGGCATAGGCGGGGAGAGAGCCGATCCGGAACCTGGGAATTGAAAGTCTTACAGAGAGAGAAGGGTGGGCTGAGCGACAGGGCTGGGCCTCCCTCTGGCCTGCAGCCAAGGGTGCCAGGGGGTGACACAGAGGACACAGGGTCACCGTGTTTGCCTCACAGGGACCATGCCGTTCAGAAAGGTCCTTCTCTGGCCCCTGGGTGGTGGGCTGCCTGACCCTGGGCTCCACAGGGTGGGGTGGGGGCTGGCCTGGCATAGGGGGGCCTGAGGCATAGGGGTGGGCGCTGGGCTGACCAGGCCCTGCTGTTTTCCAGGGGCCAGGCCCAAGAGGACGCAGAGGCTGAGCGCAGAGACCTGGGACCTGCTGAGGCCCCCCCTGGAGCAGGTGAGCAGGGCTCAGGGGCGGGCGGGCTGGGTGGCACCTGGAGACAGGTTAGAGGTAGAGCCGTGGCCCCAGGGTAATGGGTTGGCACACAGTGTTTGCTCAGCACCCTCCCCTCCGTCCTGCCACCGCTGCAAAATAAATGGGCCCTCGATGCCTGAGCCCAGGAGGGCCCATCTGCTGCCATCCCCCGCTGGTCCCTTGAGGCCCCTGCTCCCCTGCAACCACCACCCACCTTCTCGGCCTCCTCCCTGGGGGGCCAAGGCGCCGTCAGTACACACAACAGACCCCCCGGGCCCCCACACAGCTGCTGTGTGGCCAGTTTCCTGGCAGACCCACAGGCAGGGCCGCAGCTCAGTCAGCTCACTGCTCTCTCTACCCTGAGGTGGCTCGAAGCTGTTACAGGTGGAGAAATAGCTAGAGTTCAGCCAAGTCAGGGCCTGGCAGGCTGGGGGCCTGGGCCGGCTCTGCCTGCAGGCCGGAAAGGTGCCATCTGTCCAGGGGTGGACTCCCCTGAGCCCCTGTGCAGCTGGGTCTAGTGGTGCTGGGACAAGGCTCAGGCAGGTCCTGTCACCACTTCCGTGAGAAGGGTGACATGCCAGGTGGCTGAGCAGCTCACCTAGAGCCACGTGCCCCTGGACGGCCATCCAGTGCCCCCCCCCACCTCCCTTTGCCCTCGCTGGCCTCTCCCTCTGCAGAGCCTGAGCACCAGCCTCATGCGTCTATCTCCTGGGGCACCTGCCTGCCCTCCCCGAAAGGTCCAGGAGAGGGGAGGCGTATGGGGGTGTTGCTAGTGGCCCCTCCGTGTCCAGCCTTCTCCCCTCCCCAGGAGCAGAATGGAGACAGCCACCACGCCGGGGACTGGCGGGGGCCAGGCCGGGACTCGCTCCCCCTGCCGGTAAGGAGTAGGAAGTACCAGGAGGGGCCGGACACTGCTGAGCGGAGGCCCCGGGAGGGCGGCCACTCCCCTCTGGACAGCGCGGATGTCAGGGTGCAGGTGCCTCATGCAGTAAGTGGGGCGCCCCGAAGGCATGGCTGGGCTGGGAAGGAGACATGTCTGAAAACCACATGGCACCCCCACCCCCACCATACAGCAGAGCTGGCCTGGGAGCCCAGCTGGGGTTGGTCACGGGGAGACAGAGGACCGTCCACCCCCAGGTGGCAGGAGCTAGGTCATGGACAGTGGCATTGCAGGGACAGGGCGAGGATGGCGGCCCAGATTGGATCCTCTCTGCCTCCATCGGGGGTCCTTGAGAGAGGACCCTGCCCCCTGAACCTTGGGTCCTCGTGTGTAAACGGGGCCATTACTGATCTGTGTCGTTCTTGTTGGGAGGCCTGGCCCTGCCCCTCCCCTCTGTGCGCCACCCCCCCGCAGGTCCAGGTGGTGCAGGGACTTCTCGACCAGCACGGATGGGGGGCTTTGGGGTCTGAGGAGGTGCAGCCAGGCATGGTCTGAGGGCCCAGAGACCTCATCCTGGGGCAGGGGTGGGGAGCAGGGCAGGGCTGGCGTCAGAAGGTGGGAACACGCTAGGCTAGGCAGGGTCGGTGTTCTGGAGGGGGCCCTGGTGGAAGGAGCTCAGGGGGAGGTAAGAAGTGGGGCAAAGGACCAGTGTGGTGGGAGCTGAGGGCCAGGGATAGCCTTGGACTCCAGGGCACTGGGGAGCCACAGAGCAGGAAGGGGCCTGGCCTGTGCTCCACCAGACTCCCCCTCGCCTGCGCCTGGCCACCTGGGGACTGTATTTCCAGGGCCGGGCAGGAGCCAAACACCCAGCCTAGGCCAGACTCCCTGGAAGGGTTAGGACAGCAGCTCCAGTGCCCTCTGGAGGCGGATGCAGCACGGTGCCTCATGTGTGCAGACTCACACGTGAACACGCACCGGGACACGCACACAGGTCACTCTAGCGGCCTGCACACCCGGGCTGGTCGGGGAAGCCATGGCCTCGGGTGCCCTGGGGCAGCCGGGCTGAGGCGGGGCAGCAGAGCCTGCACCCCCAGCTACCTGGGTAACTTGTGTCTTTCTGTGAGTCACGGTACCCCTCAGCTGTACCAGCCTCCCTGCAGGAGGGCTATTTTTAAAGTTTCCTCGAAAAGGCAGCCAGCAGCAAGCATTTCCCCCACCCTGTCTTGTTCTCCCCGTGTTCGGCTGGAGTACGGGGAGGTGATGGGCAGGCATACCTGGCCCCGAGTCCAGCCCACCTCTCACCCTGGGGGCTTCAGGGATGTTGTTTAATTTCTTGGCCTCTTGTCTATCACGGGGGCCGGTGAGACCATGGGAGGGGGCGCTGGACACCCACTGGCCTGTTCCCCTCGGAAGCCAACGGCCGTCATAACGGAGGCCACTCAGCCCGACGGTGGTGGGTGTCAGGCCACACTGGCCGATGCCAAGGGCGACCCCGGAATGGAAAGGACCCCGACCCCTGCCGTTCCTCATCAGCTCCCGCAGCCCCTGCCCCAGGGCCAGGGCGGCTGCTCCCAGGCTGGCCACCTTTGGAAAGAAGCCAGGGGCCTCGGGGTCAGAGCGGGAAAGTGCTTTTCAGATCGGCTCCCATCCACTGTCCCTGCAGCTGAGTGTGAGCCCTGCTGCCGTGCGGGGACATCCACGGCAGTGTTTGAGGAGCGTGCGTGCGTGCGTGCGTGTGCGTGCGTGTGTGTGTGTGTGTGTGTGTGTGTGAGGGCGGGGACTGGGAGGGCCCTTGTCAGACTCCTCCTTAAGCACCGGGCTAAGAGCTCCGTGTGTCCGGGAGCGAGGCAGGCAGCAGTGGTGGCAGCGGGCGGTGGGCTCTCCGAGGTCTCGCCTTTCCCGGGAGCGGCCTGCCCGGCATCCTGCACTGACCCCCGGCCACCCTCTGGTGAGAGCCCTGTGACCCGGTGTGCATGTGGGTCCCACGGGGAGTCCTGGACCTGGTGGGGGCTCCAGTGGGTTCAGGCAGCAGAGCCCTTCTCCTGGGGCTCCGAGCCCCCCAGAGGGGCTGAGCCTGGGTGGGCTGGGGGCTGGAGAGGGCGAGTGGGTAGAGGGGTGGGGGAACAGTCAGCTGGGTGGTGAGAGGTCAACGGGGTGGACATGCCTAGGTCAGTGGCATGGGCGTGTGGTCAGCTGGGTAGGCAGTCAGCAGGGTGGGTGGTCAGAGGGTGAGCGGTCAGCAGGGTGCGTGAGCGGTCAGCAGGGCAGGTGGTCAGTGCTGGGCAGGCGAGGGGTCAGTGGGGTGGCAGAGTGGTCAGCGGGCTGGGTAGCCAGTGGGCAGACGGGCAGTCAGCCAGATGGGTGTGTCGTCAGCTCCCTGGCAGCCTCATCAGGGCAGGTAGGGGGAGGCATCAGCAGAGTTCCAGCCCTTTCTGCACGTTCCCTGCTGCCTGGCCCGGCCATCTCCCCACCCAGCCTGGGCTCCGGGGCAGCCCAAGGACTGGCCGGGGGGCTGGGAGGGCAGACCCGGCCTGGGGGAGGGGCAGGTCTTTGTGACCCGGGTGAAGCTTCTCCTACTCAGTAGGAGGAACTGGGGTTAAACTAAAGCAGAAGAGACTCGAAACTTTAGGAAGAACCGTGAGACCTTCGGGAAGGAAAGAACCAGGGTGTGGGGCAAAAGTGAGGGCATGTGTGCCTGCAAGGTCCGCTCTCCGAGGTCTCGCCTTGCCCAGGAGTGGCCTGGCATGGTTCACGGGGTCCCTGGGTCACCTGGGGGAGCCCAGCTCCAGGCCAGACACAGGGGCCAGGGCATGATTGTCCTTCCAAGTGGGCGACGGCTGAGCCCATCCCCACCTGGCAGGGCCCGAGACATCCTGGAGCAGCCCCCGTTCTGGGCCGTGAGGCCCATGCCCCGGGGGTAGCCCACATCGTCCTTCCCCCCGCACCCCCCGCTGGTGCTCAGGGAGACACTGTCCTCCCCGCTGGCCATCCCCTCTGCACCTCTGCAGGACCGTAGGACAACAAAGCCCTTCACGGCCTGGAGCCTCCCCGCCTGCCTTGGCCCTGGGCCTGCCCCTGGGGAGGGGGCACCCTGAGAGCCCTGAGTTGGGGCAGGGTCTCACCTCCTTGCTGCCACCTGCTGGCTTGCGCAGGCATAGCAGGCCCAGCTTGGCCACCGACCCCTCACCCTCCTCCACCCCACTTGCTGCCCTCATGGCCCGGGCCAGGCCAGCACCGTCCGAGGCTGGTCCTACCATTTGCCACGTGTGCCCTCAGGCCGGCGGTTCACCTCTGTGGAAGGGGTGAGCCTGGTGACGGCAGTCGCGCTTCGGGCCATTGGGAGTTGGGGGTCACACATTTTGGCAGTCCCGGCTCCGGGGCCTGTCTGCTGACCTGGCCTCTCCCATCTGTTCACCCCCACTCAGCAAGGCCTGTGCCATCACGCGGAGTGGCCGGGGTGGCAGTGATCCTGTGGGGGGTGGGTGTGGGGTAGGGGGCGCTGAGGGCAGGCTGGCCAGAGAAGGGCACTGACCTGGCCCCGCCCCCAGGGCCTCCTGCGGGCCCTGTCCTCGGACGAGGAGTGTTTCTTCGACCTGCTGAGCAAGTCCCAGAGTGGCCGTATGGACGACCAGCGCTGCCCCCTGGAGGACGGCCAGGCTGGTGCCGCCCCCACACTGGAGGAGCGCATGGGTGAGCCCCCTCCTAGCCAGGCCCGGGCACAGGCGGGCGTGGGGCTCAGGGTTCCCGTCCCTCCACCCTGGGGTGGCCGCACAGCCCGCTGCAGAGACGCACAAGGAACCACTGCGCTGCCGCAGCTGGGAGCTGGCCGGCAGCCGCGGGCTCCAAGTCCCCACATGGGGCCACATGGCCTTCGGGGCGGGCAGATCACCTCCAAGTGCCCCTTGTCACCGGAGCTGCCCCTCCCTCCCTGCTGGGCCCGAGCCGACGTCATGCAGCATCCTGGGCAAGCGTATAATTACCTCGCCACCCACCGGAACATGCACGTCGGGGCCTGGGGCAGGCGTGGGAGGTGGGGCCGCCCCTTCTGTCACCTCCTGACAGCCGGGGCCCGCAGCACACTCACACCACCCACAGGGCACAGCGGGCAGGTTGGCTTCACAGAGCCAAGAACTCCGGCCTCACCCTGCAGCAAGCAGAGTCTGCGGGGAGCCCCCACCCCCGCCTGCTCCAAGGGCCCAGCCTGGTGCGAGCACAGCCCCCCGGAGCCCGCACTAGCCTCACCCTCTGTCCCCTGCAGCCCAGTCCTCGCTGACGGCCTCCCCACAGACTGAGGAGTTCTTCGACTTCATCGCCAGCTCTCAGAATCGCCGGCTGGACGACCAGCGGGCCAGCGTGGGCAGCCTGCCTGGGCTGCGCATCACCCACAACAACCTGGGCCACCTACACAGCGAGAGCGACCCCCCGGAGCCAGGGGACGAGTTCTTCAACATGCTCATCAAGTGCCAGGTAGGCCTGCAGCCTCCAAGGCCCGCTGCCCCAGGCCCACTTGGGCCACCTAGCCGAGAGCCAACTGCCCATCCCTTCTACCTGCAGTGGTGGTACCCCTGCTGTGCAAAGGGGCGGGGCTGACACAGCCTGGGCATCCTCGGGGTGCTGGGGTCTGGAGCCACCCCAGGCAGGCACCCCAACCAGACCCAGACGTGGCCACCCTTCCTGGTGCAGGAGCTGGGAGCAGAGGGGTCACCAGGTCCTCAGGCTCACGGCCTCCACAACTGGATGGAGAAAAACCAGAGCTGGGGGTGCCCCAGCAGGGGCGGGGCAGGGAGCCCCCACGGCCGGGCAGCTGGAGGTGTCCCCGAGGAGAGGCACCCGGCCCAGGTCTTGAGAGCTGCCCGAGACTGGTGGGGTGCAGGCCGAGGGTGGTCAGGGTCAGGGCACCAAGCCAGGCAGCGAAGGCGGAGGGGCCACTCAGGAGCAGAGGCCAGGCAGTGTGCAGCCAGGTGCCTGCAGAGGTTGGGGTGCCTGCCCTAGGCACTGCGGCAGCCCTGGGTGCCCCCCACTGGGATGGAGGGGAGAGAGGCGGGGTGCGGGGGGCAGGAGGGCATGAGCTGCTGAGCCGCCTGCACCCCGTCACCGCACCCCATTACTGCAGGCCCCCGCCTGGCACCGGGGCAGGGCAGAGTGGCAGGCAGGGCTCGGGCTCAGGAAACCTCCAGCAAAGTGTCCGTAGAGGACACGGTCTGCAGAGCTGGCTCTCGTTCCCACAGAGGGGAGGACGGCTCCGCCTCCATCAGGACCCTCCCGAGGGGACCAGCGTGTGCCCTCCACACGCATGCACCTTCCAGTGGCTACGCCGGCTCCCGCACAACCTGCTTCAGGCCCTGCAGAGAAGCCCCCGTGCCACCTCGGTCCCCGCCACCCCTGCCGCCTGACCCGAGGGTAACTCGGGCACAGGGCCTGCTGGGGGCCTCCTTTCTGCAGCCTTTGGGAGCTGCAGCCCCCAGCCCGCCTAGGGACAGCATCAGGCAAACAGGCCCAGGCGGGCAGCTCCAGCCACCTGGAGGACAGTGCCAAGGCCAGCCACGCTCTAGCGGGCGACTATGAACACCAGGCTGGGTGACCCAGCTCTGGAAGCTGTTCTCAGGGTCATGCACACGAGCCCAAAGCCGGGCAAGCCTCCACCGAGGCCCCTCTAAGCTGATGGGCCACCTCTGCTGTGACTCCTGAGCCCACTGACTGAGGGGTCCGGTGCAGGATGGGCACCCCTAGGCAGGGTGGACCGTCATACAGGCAGGATGGGCCCCCACAGGCGGGACGGGCGCCCACAGGCTGGACAGGCCCCCACAGGCGGGGCGGGCTATCACAGGTGGGGTGGGCCCACACAGGCCGGACAGGCCCCCACAGGCGGGATGGTCCGTCACAGGCCGGATGGGCCCCCACAGGCCGGAGAGGCCCCCACAGGCGGGGCGGGCTCCCACAGACACCAAACTCGTATGTGTCTGCCCAGGCCTCCAGGATCGATGACCAGCGCTGCCCGCCGCCCACTGTGCCCCCACGAGGCCCCACCATGCCAGATGAGGATTTCTTCAGCCTTGTCCAGAGGGTGCAGGCCAAGCGCATGGACGAGCAACGGGTGGACCTTGCCACCAGCCCTGAGCAGGAGACCACCGGGCCGCCTGAGCCACAGCAGCAGGTCCCGCCCGGCGCCAGCTAAGGCCTCAGCCTCGAGGCTGGTGAGCCCCCCACCTGCAGCCAGGGCCACCCTGCCCCATTCCTGAACTCAGGGGCTCACATTACCACAGATATGCTTGGCTCCCGAGAAGCCAAACCTTCCCGAGGCCAAGGCTGGGGCAAGCTCTGGGCCCCTACCCTGGCCCTTGCTGCTGAGCCGGACATGGGCCGTGACCCCACGTGTCCCCCTCCCAGACGGCACGCTCGGGCCAGGAGCTGCCAGGGGAGGGGAGGGCATAATCTCTCCCAGGACCTCCCGCCTGGTAGTCAGCCTCCTGCAGGCCTGCCCACCTACCCTGCCCCTGCACAGGCTGGGCCCGCCCTCGGCATGTCAGCCCCAGGCCCTGGTGCTGCCCAGCCCCCCCACACCCACTCCCTGCCCCTCTGGGCTCCTTTCGGATTACCCAGGAAATACGGAGACTCCGCTGTGGTCTCCAAGCCCCCAGGTCTATCGGAAGCCTCTCCTGCAGTCTCGCCAGCTGGGCGTTTCTATCCTGGATGGAGCTCGGCTCCTGGAGCCGTCTGGGGGTGGCCAGGGGCAGTTTGCTGGGACCCTGGCCCCTCCCCTCACTCCCGCCAGGCTGGAGGGAGCACAGGGAGGAGGAACGGAGAGCCTGCCCTGACCAGGCAGAGGGGCCCTAGCCTGGCCGGGCAGCAGAAATGGGGTCCCCTGGCCAGAGTCCCCCTAGTCCCCACAGGCCCCAGGCTCGGCCTGCTTCCCTGAAGCCGAGGGAGTCCAGCAGCAGCTGTGAGTCCCCTTGAAGCCCCTGATCCTGAGCCTGACCTTGGCGGGCATCTAGCACTGTACCCAGATTGTGCCAAGGAGGCCTCTGTGGGCGTGGCCCAAGTGGTGGGTCCGAGGCCAGCAGGGCCAGGCCCAGGGGAGCTCCTGCTCCCCATCCCCCAGTCCTGGTCGAGCAGGCACGGGGCGGGGTCTCCAGACACTGAGACAGGGCCTTGGTTGCCCCAGCAGTCTGCCCCTCCCAGCCCCTGTCCGGCTCACGGTCTGGGGGCCCATGCCGGGGCTGGTGCCAGCCTGGGCAGGGGTCCTGCTTGGGGCAGGGAGGTGGCCTGGAGCCTGCCCTGTGGCCGTTCTGGGGCAGGAGGCTGAGGACCAGCCCTGGGCTCCGGGCAGTGGCCTGATGGGGGGCGGTACCCCAAGGTCAGGGCAGGTGTGTGGCCGGGCGGGGTGTGGGCTCCAGGTGGGCGGGACGCCTGCGCACTTGAATGTACGTGTGTTTGTTTATTGCCCACGCGTCCGCCACGTTAGCGGGTTGTTTCCAACCCAGCAGGTACATTGTTTTCCGGTTTTTCTTGAAAAAATAAAGTCTGCCCAGTGAGGCCGCCGTGTCGGGGCGTGACAAGGGCGTGGGCTGTCAGTGATGCGCATTCGGCCACAAGGCCCCCTCGCCCTTGCACCCCCAGAGAAGCCAAGCAGCCAGAGCCTCCACTGGTGTGAATGGGGTGCAGGGACAGGGTGTACCCGCACCCCTCAGCCCCTCCCCACAGCCAGCTGGTGCCCCCAGCACTGACCACAGGCCCTGCCAGAACTTCCCCCCACTCTAGACACGGAGACGGAAATGGCGGGGCAGCCCGCTCCCCACCCACCACCACGCATACCTGGGGGAGCAGATACTATGTCCCGACCCTGGGTCCTGACACCCTGGGACCTTGCCTGGGCCATAGCCACCACTCTGTAGGTTCTCCACATTCCCAGGGGCCAGGCCACCTCACAGATAAGGGGACAGAGACAAGGCCGAGATCTCCCACCCCAGCCTGCTTGGGGCATCCCCCATCAGAGGGGACAGGGACACAGCTTAAAGTTGGTGTTTAGAGGGGCAGTTCACCCCAAGGGAGGGGCCGGGGGCCAGAATGAGGCTCAAGAATGCGTGAGAGGAGGCGTGTCTGGTGGTCAGGACCCTGGTGGTGTGGCCCTCTCTTCAGGGATGGGGACATGTGAGGGTGGAGCTGATTGGAGATGCTGCAGAACAGCTGGGAGACCCCCAGACACGGACGTGCTGGACAGTGGGGACAAGGCAGGAGGGGACCTGCAGAGGGGCCAGGGCAGAGCCAGACCACAGGCCAGGAGGAGCAGTGGATGGGACCTCGCACAGCCCTTCCCGGAAGTGTGGCTATGGGGGTGGACAGGCAGGAATGGCCAGGGCCAAGGAGAGGCTACCTTTCCTGCTGAGATAGAGAAGACCAGGCGGGTGTGGGGCTGTCGGGCTGGCGAAGGAGAGGGCCCAAGGGGCCACCGAGACAGCGGTTTCTCTGAGCTATTTCCCAGTGTCCCACGGAGCCCCAGCTCTGAGGGAATGGGTTCTACAGTGAGTCTGGTGAGCACTCAATACAAGTTGTCCTCTGAGGCTCAGAGGCCTGGGGAGGAAAGACTGTGAATCCCCGCAGCAGGGTGTCCCAAGTGCGTCCTGGCCTTGTCCATCCTCCCACAGACCACGCGTGGGGAATGCCGGCCATGGAACGCAGCCTAAACACGGCTCCTAATTTGACCCTGGGTGGGGCAGGGGGGGACACCACAATAGAGGGAGGGCCTCTGACTGTGGGGGGAGGTGGGAGCAAGGCTGAGGCTGACTCACCCATGCCAGAGTGGGCTCCAGCCATGTCTTGGGACCAGGGATCCTGGGACCAGAGCCCTGTGGGATGGCAACACCCAAACCCCAGGCCTCGGTTTCCCTATCCATAAAGCGGAGGACTGGCCTGGGCTGCCCTCCTAGATCTGGCCAGCTCCTGGGCCTACGTCCCTAAGTTCCCAGGAACCAACCAAACGCACCCAGACCGCCTGGCTGCTGGATCCCCAGGAGGCACCACCAGCCAGTGCCCGTGGTGCCCTGTGGGCCCAGCTCAGGGATGACAGGCTCCCAAACGGCAGAGGCTAGGGCGGGGATAATAAAGGGTTGTTCACGAGGAGAAGGACGGGAGATAATTGAGTTGGAGCAGACCCTGAAGGTGGCAAGAACAATGGGCGCGCCCCCAGCCTCCTGCCGCCCGGGCTCCACTCGGGTGACACCGGGTAATAACCGCCCCGTGCCCCCGCCCCACGCCAGCTGCGCCCCCAGCCTCCCGCCGCCCAGAGCTGAGTGTTCTTCCCTGCGGCTGTGTGTGTTGAAGGTCACACAGTGCACAACACTCTGGGAATAAACTCGTTTATGTAAACACAGGAACATCCTGAGCATAGTCAAACACGGCGGAGACAAACGGCACCCCCCCGATGGCCTATGGAGGCACCCCACCACCCCAGAGAGGAACTGAGCCCCTCGCCTGCACTCCCTGCGAGTCTCCCTGGCCGCAGCGGTGTGCAGTGGGTCACATGGTGCTCCACGGGCCATCGAGGGTCAGGGCCAGGGCCATGCTGTGGGGCGTCAGGGTGGGGGCACAGGAGGGAAGAGAGTCTGTGGGCCCTCCTTGGTCTGGCCGGCAGGGGCCACAGGAAGGAGGGGCTCACTAGCCCTCCCCTCACCCTTGGCCTCCCCCAGAACCCAGCAGGCTGACCTCAGTGTTCAGCAACACTGCTCTCCCCCTCCCCCCCGTGCCCGTCTGTGTCCCCTCTCCGTCCTCGCGGCCTGAGGTGCCCTGGACGTGTGGCTGCGGCAGACAGCCCCCACCAGCCCTGGGTGCGTGGGACAGATATGACTCCAGAAAAAGATGCGGACAGAAGAGCCCCAGGAATCTGAGAGTGAGGTCTGTTTACTGACAAAAACCAGGCTTGTCGGCACAGAGACACCGGGGCCAAAGCGTCTTTCCGAAGGCAGAGCTGGCAAATCCCTGGCGAGGGGAGGGAGAATCAGCTCAGCTCTGACTTGCCTGGGTGAGCGGAGTCCTCGTCCTCACCCCCTTCCGGGGCAGCAGTGGACTGGGGGGCTGCTGCAGCCTCCAAGACCACTTCCGCAGCACCGTCGCCAGCCACCCGGCACACTGGCTCCCCTCGGGCTGCCAGGATTTCTTCAATGTTCCTGAGAGACAAGGGCGTGGCGTTACCCCGCGGCCCTCAGCCACCTGCAGCGCGTCAGGGCCGGCTCCGCCCAGACCACACGGGCACTGAAAGCGTCAGCCGGCACCTTTTACCACCCCCACGTTGCGTCTTGTCATTAACAGCCACCTCGGGAACCAGAAAATGAGGAAAGCGGATTCATCTCCGTCACCCCGGGACATGCCACAGACCGAAAGAACAGGGAACTCCACTCCAGGAGGTCACCGAGTGCAGACTGGGCCTCATGGGGACAGCGCGTGCCAGGCGCCGTGCCAGCCCCTACGTGCGGGTCTCGTCGGACGGCAGCCACGGGCCCCACACACAGGTGGGATGCTGAAGCTCAGAAGTCAGGAGCCGCCTGGCTACCCAGGTTCTGTGCTTCGGAAGAGAGGTGAAGCTAGAGGCCCAGGCCCAGTCCACACCACCTCACGCGCGCCCTGACATCCTGCCGTGGTCACCACCCAGAGCCGGCAGAGGCAGAGAAGGCGCCTAGAATCCTTGCTCCTGGGGGAGGGGCCCTGCTTAGACTAAGCGCACAAGCGTTCTCAGAGTTCTGACGACAGGAAGTCATTGCAGCAAGAAGCACACAGAGAGGTAGGCCGCCACTGCCCAGAGGGGACATGGGGCGTCAGGCAGGTCCACAGGGGCTGGTCTGGGTGTGGATGTAGCAAATGAAAGCATGCGCCAAGTTTGGGGTGCACTCACACTAAGGTGTTATCTGTGGGTTAGCTGAATTCAACTTAACGGGTGTTCTGTGTTTATCAGACACCCCCAGCAGGGTCACGGAGCTGGGCTGCAGACGCGGGACAGATGGACTTCCACATGCCGGGAGCTCCCCCGGAGGCCAGTGTGGTTGGGACAAACTGCTGGGTGCCGCTTCAGACCCAGGATCCTCAGGCTCCACCCCACCCCACGGCCTCACCTCTTCCCGTCCAGGTCCGAGAACCAGCCCAGGTTGTCGGCGATGATGTGGTGGTTCCGGCAGCCGGGGCAGGTCACAATGACCACGCCCTGGTGGTAGGCCAGCTTGGAGATGCGCTTGGAGGAGCGGGTCCCGCAGACCTGACCACGCAGACAGCTGTGTCAGGCCCCGCCCAGGGCTGCTCTGCCTGAAAACTAGCCCTGCCCCTCCCCACAGTCCCGCCCCTCTCGTGGGAAGGCGCCGCCCCTCCTGAGAACTAGCCTCACCCCTCCCCACAGTCCTAGTCCCGCCCTTCTCCCGGGAAGCCCCCGCCCCTCCAGAGGAGTAGATCCACCTCTCCACAGTCCCGGCCCCGCCCCCTCCCGGGAAGGCCCCGCCCCTCCAGAGG